GTATTTATGCGAATATTCGTGGACTATATTCACTTGCCTGCATGCAATCATAAATACATTTTTATTTATATTCACGCGTATGTATGCATGCTTGTGTGTGTTCGTATGAATGTGTGTAAATTTATGTGTAAACACTCTCGCAAAAAGCCATAATTTTCCAATTAAGCGAAAATGAGCGATTTATTTGCCATGAAATCAGTGAGAATCGCCGATAAAAATCTCTTCATTCTGCCGTTGCCATTTCTGTTGCTAGTAGCTACAGTTTAAAAAATGCAGTTGTTGTTGTCGTTGTTGTTATTGTTGTTATTGTAAATGCAATTGCATTGCCTGCAAGCAAGCAAGCAGGCAAGCAGGCGAGTGAGCGAACGTCTGCTGCGTTGTTACAATTATTTATGCGCGCGCGTAAGAAAGTTGTTGCCGCCTGTTCAGTGGGTGTTTTTGTTGATGATTTTAACGCGATGTGCGATGTATAATGCGGTTCACTGCTTAACCCCAACCGGTCGGTCCGTCGGTCGGTCGATCGGTTGGTAGGTCGGTTGGTAGGTCGGTGTGCATTTATTCTGTTGTTATTTGTATTAACGCATATGTAGCGCGGCGCAGTGCATTTACTGTGTTGGTCTCGGCTGTTCTGTGCTATTCTGTGCTGTGCTGTGTGCGGCAGGCACTCTTGACTATTATCTGCAGCGTGCTCGCCAAGGGGAATTCCCGTGCTGTAACTACCATTGCATTGCACACTACAGCTGTGTTTTAACTCATTGTTTGCAAATTTTTGCACGTTTTACACTATGTTGCACTGTCAAGTGGAAAATTGCTGAATACGCGTGCGGGTGTTTCAACTTACAGCTTTTTTCTTACACTAGTTTTTTTTCTGATTTTTTTCCCTTTTTTTTTCTTTCTTGTTTGCTTTGTGGGCACACATAAAAAATGTATAATTCTCGCCGGATACAGTAGCCGCGCCAAATCCACTAGCCACTTGCTGCAACAACAAGTGCAACAACACAATAAGGGCAACTGCAAAAACGACAACAACAGCACCAACAACAACAGTAACAGTAACGGCAGCACCAGCAGTTGCAGTTGCAGTGGCAGTGGCAGTAGTACTACTACTGGTAGTTCAACCTCGAAACGGAATTCGGAACAGTTGCATAAATAATGGAAAAAAAGAAAATGTCTGAGTCAACATTTGTTGGAAATGGTCCCTGCGGAGTGACGAAGTTTCTGCAAGGGTAAATATAAGCACAAACAACAACAACAACAACAACAACAACAAAAACAAGAATTTGAGTATTAAAATTTATCTACTGAGCTCGTTATTTATTTGGTTTCAGCAGATGCATTATTTTTAATTAAACACTTGAAGATGAATTTTTCCAATATGCGACAAAGTGAATTCAACTCAAATTAACCCCGTTTTTATGCAAAAGATACAAAACAATAAAAACGCATAGTATTTTTGAATAATAAATATCTCGATTTGAAATACATATGTATATGTCAATAACTTTACTATAACTTTATAAGATTTAAGGATAATCTTTAGACCTCTTCACACACACTAAATAAAATAAAGTATATACTCTTCACTATTTCGCCCATTAATTCTGAAAGGAACTAGATTCATATCTAATTTTTTGTACTTCTAATAGAAATTTATCAACCAAGGGCTGCTTTTATAGTTGCAGCAATAATATAATTAGAAAAATATATAAAATATTCACATTTAGTTCTAAAGTATTTTTTTACCCCACAGGTCTATATCACAGTCGCAACTTAAAAGTCAATACAGACATAAATATGAGTTATGACGACTTCGATTGATAAATCTGAGGCAAGTTTTTTAACCGAGATTCACTTTTAGTGCAGTTTTCGTTTCGATTGGTAAATCTCGTACGAAATCA